AAAAAAGAAAAATAATTTAGGATAACTAATCCTTTCATCACAGCCATCTCCTTCATTATTCCTCCCTCACCTTACCTCACATACTAGACTGCAGCTGATGTCTGTCCAAAGAAGTGGGATGCTGCTGGGACATTCCAAGGTTTTGAACAAGCTTGGGTTTGGCTCTGCAGTTCCAGGCATCCACATGTCATTCAAAGTAGTTTCATATCTAAGGCAAATCACATGGGATCACATTTAAGCCAAAGCCACTTCTTGTTCAGATAGATTATCTTCACTCTGTCCCCTTGACTTTCCCAAAGTCAGAGATGGTAATAGAGTACAACACTGAGGCACTCTCTCTTTTCTATGGATGAGAAGAGAGATTTCTAAGAGGCCCTAAGAGACCTAGAAGATAACCTCTTGCTGAAAGTCAGTGGGAAATGGATGGTTGCAATCTCTGTCAGTAAACTTTACCCTTGAGAGAGACAAGATGGACAAACAAATCAAATGGAGTGAGGCTACCAGTAACTATTGGATATCAGGCTGGGAGCAATTCAACATAGTTATCATGAATCTTTCAATATCCGTGTCTGTTTATGGGCTTAGTAGAGTGAGAAAACAGCTAGGGACTTCCCAGAACATTGCATAAATCCAACTGAACAATATGTTGTTATTCCTTACCCTTCTATTTTTCTCTAAAAAAGCCCATTTTTACCTATATAAGAGATTTCTTCTGACATTATACCCCTGTTATGTTTGGTGGCCATAACAAAAGAAGGCACAGAAGTTTAGGAAAGGACTGCTGGGTTTGCAAAAAGCTATAGTGAATCCAGCCAGGAGGAAAAAAAAGAGCTCATCTTTAGAGGATGGGAAAGTGTTTGCTACAGTACTCTTTGAAACATTTCACACTGTCCTGTTTGCAGAAACCCAACTATCCTTGTGACCTTCCCTTCCCTTCCCTTCCCTTCCCTTCCCTTCCCTTCCCTTCCCTTCCCTTCCCTTCCCTTCCCTTCCCTTCCCTTCCCTTCCCTTCCCTTCCCTTCCCTTCCCTTCCCTTCCCTTCCCTTCCCTTCCCTTCCCTTCCCTTCCCTTCCCTTCCCTTCCCTTCCCTTCCCTTCCCTTCCCTTCCCTTCCCTTCCCTTCCCTTCCCCATATTCACCCAGGTTCCCAACTTTTAGTTTCATCCAATTAGTCCTAGCTGTGCCACACTAAATCAACAGTGCACTACTAACTACAGCTTTCTGCATATAATTTTTTAATCTCTCGGGGAACTTGGCATCATGTCTTTCCTGTGTTTATTTTTATAATGGGAGCTTGTTCAACTGGCAACGCTGTAAAACCATTAAGAGAGGCTGTCCAATCCTGGTATAGATCACCAGTCCTTGCTTCATAGGATATCCTGCTACACTGCCCTCCCAAAATGTCGGGGCCAGCAAAGAAAAACGAGTGCTTTGCATAGCAAATAGTTTTTATGACTTACAGTTAATGGACCTTACCATTAATTGGCAGAATTACAACTCGTGTTTAGTTGATGAAAGTAGCTGTCTTGAAAAGTTATTAGGCTTCCTTTTGTTCTTGCTTCCCTTCATTTTTTTCTCAAGATTGATTACACAGTGACTCTTTGAACTTACATTGAATGTTTCCTTTGAGGATCTGCTTGCATCTTGGTTTCATATTTTTTGTTAGTCTTTCAGTATTCCAGCAATCCAGGGATAGTAGAAGGAAAACAATAAAGAAAAAGCAAAAGAAGTAATAGTGTCAGGAAAGTATTCCCGAAAAATGTGAGTCATACGGTAGTATCAATAACACTGAAAGTGTGAATAGTATGAGAAATATATATGCAGCCTTATCAAGGCTAAACAGTTTTGTGATAAAGGAAAATAAACTCCATTAACAGGGATGTAGTAATTCATAGAGCATCTTAGGTTGTGCAGTGTCTGTATCTGCTGGCTATCCTAAATAAATTACTTCAGTCAAGACATGGTTCCCCTTTCTCTGGGGTGCGGCTGTGGATGGAGGGAAAGCAATTTACTTCAAAAGCTGATTCAGCAACAAACTCTGCAGGGGCCCATCAATGTACCATTAATAATCAGAGATGCTCTAATGATTAGCAGTGGCATTGTAAATCATTTGCACAACACTATTTATTTCAACATTATTCAGCAATTTTGTGTTTCCTGAAAGACAAAATGGTTTTCATGTGATGAAATATACTCTCCAGCAGTAAGCAACAAGCTGTATAACAGGCTTTCAAAATATTGTTTCTTCTTACATGGTATCTTTTTTTTTGTGTGTGTGAAGTATTGAAGAAGATTAGGTCCTTATAAATTTGATCTAAAACCAGTGATATTTTAAGTAGATACTAAGAAAAAGTCATGCTCACTTCCACTAACTCATCTTGGTTTGAGTCCCCAATAACCCTCTCTTTTCATTACCCTCTGAAGTCTGGTTCTTCCTTCAAGTGAAATTAATAGATCAATCCTGGATATCTCTTGGTGTGCCTCAATCTAAACCTCTATTTACTGCATTCAGAGGGCTTTTCTGAAGCCCGATTTAACTTAAAAATAATATTGGTTCATACAAATGCTGATTCAATTATTCCTCGCATTTAATTTAACAACCTTTCTTTTTCTCTTAATGAAAACTCAATACCAATTTAATACAAATTGTTTGGCACATTTGCCTTATATGCAAATTCAAAAGCAAGGTCAAAGCAGCAGTAATAAAGCTGTGCCTGAGTTCCTTTCTTACAAGATCTAGATGTTATTAGAAATGGCATTAAAAATGTCATGAATACAGAGGAGAAAAATGAAAGCTAAGAAATAATCCAGGAGACTGGGAAGCAGCCGGAACGAAATAAATGTTAATTAATACCTTGCATCACACAGGCTACTTACTTGTATTGATGGAGCAGAAAAAAAGTACTGGTAAAGATAGGTCTGTTTGCAATTAATATTTTTAAAACCTCAAGATCCCATTTTCAACATGAAAAAAGGACCACTGAGTGAGCATGAATGCAGCTGTATTTTAACAATAGCAAATAATTTTCCTTCTGTTTTGTTTTACTGTCTTTGAAGAGTTTCCACTTGCTGCATATGTGTTTCAGGAAAAATACTCTTTTTTTTTCTGGATAGAGAACGAATTTTTCTGAAAACCTTGAGACTATTTTGGTCTTAGGATTTTTGTCCCACTAAGCCCTTATGCTGAATAAAAAGCCTGCTGCTTCCTTCTTTTAGGGTTATGTTACTTAAAGACTTCTTCTCTGTTTACTTTGCTAGCGATCATAAAACTGTCACCATCAGCAGTTCAAAGCTGGCTTGCTGCTTTTTGCTGTGTAACCTGGAGTGATTACAGCAGTGGTTCTCAGCTGTTGCTTCTTACCACGACCGACACAAGTACCTCAAATACAAATAATTTTTTCTAGGAATTATAGGAATCCCACACATTCAGTTATTTAAATTTAAAAAAAAATTTCTTTTGGTGAACAGGAGGTGCTTGGGAGCCTGCAACTTTGCTGTAAGGCAAGATGTAGGTAACTGAAGTGGTTCAACTGGGTTGAGTTCAGTAAACTTTTGGTTGCCTATTGACTGGAGATGGTGTTTTAAAAACTCTACTTTCAGCTGTGATTATTTTTATTGACTAAATAGTAATTATTCAAGATGACTCCAGAGAGAGTGGCTGCCCCTTCAGCTTTCCACAGCCTGAGACACCACTGCCCCACCGCTCCTCGAGTTCCAGGTGTCCACAGTGGAGCAGCCCGAGCCCCCATGGATGAGGGCAGGCTGCTGAGCTGGTTAGATCGAATGCTGCCCATCATCGCGGTGGGTCCTGCCTGCTCCTCTTCTGTAGAGCATTATTCCATGATCACGGGGGGGTTCCTGACCTCTTTGTCCCATATAAAGGCCAAGCAGAGACTCTATCGATCTGCACAGCCTGCTGAACGGGACAGAACAGCTGGTCGTCACTTTCACGGGCTCGCTGGTTTTGGGTGTCCTGTGTTAGTAGTCATTAGTTATTGAACCCCCCCCCCCCCCCCCCGGGCCATTAAAATAAATTTAGCAGTTGTTCTAGTCACCCTGCCCCTCCAAAATCTGATTCACGTGATACACTCCCACCTCCTTTTTTCCTGAAGGCTTTCCGGCGCGCACCGCAAGCCCCCGCTCCAGGGATAACCACAAAGGCCGGCGGCTCAGGCGGAGCTGAAGGGGCACATCGCTGGGGCTCGGTCAGCAGCTGCAGCCCTCGCAATGCACCTGCCCAGCGGGGAGCGAGCCCGCCGGGATAAACATGGATCTCTTGGGGGCCCAGATGCTCAGGAGCTGGATTCAGCAGGAACTGGGTCGCAAGGGCAAGAAAAGGGCAGCGGGGGTGGGTGTGTTTGTGGCAGTCGGGAATAGGGGCAGAAGCGCCGCAGAGGTCTCTTGCGGGCAGAAAGGGGACCGGGGCGGTGGGTGGGTGACAGCAGCGACCCCGCGGGCATCGTGGGGGAGGCGCCAGATAGCCTCGGGGACTGCGAGGGACCGGGCACCGCCGTCCCGCCACGGGCGCCAGGCGGGGAAGGGGCGGCTCGGGCACCGAGGGAAGGGGCGGCTGCTCCCGAGAGGCACGTGGGCCTGGGGGGGCCGTCAGGGAGCCCCGGGGCAGCCGTCACACCCTGGGCGCTTGGGCGGCCTCACGGGGCCAGGCGGGACCCAGGCCACGGCGGGCAGGGCTCGAAGCAGCGGATATGGGCCCGCCGGCCGGGGGAGAGATGAAAGGATGAAGGGAGGGATGGATGAGGGAATGAAGGATGGAGGGAGGAGGACGGAATCGCCATCCCCGCGGCCGGCCGCTCGGCAGCCCCAGGTAGGGGCCGCTGATTGACAGCTGACACCGCCCCCCCGGCGCTCTCATTGGCCGCTGCCCACGCCGGTCAGCGCTCGGCGCCGCCGCGGCCCGCTTCCCATTGGCGGGCTCCGCCCCGCCCCTCGCGCAGGAGCCATAAGGGCGGCGAGGGGGAGGGGCCCGCGGCTGAGGGGGCGGGGCGGCGGCGGCTTAGCCCGCGAAGGCGGCGGCGGCCGGAGCGCTGGAGCGGCGGCCGGAGCGCTGGAGCGGCGGCGGCTGGAGCGGGATGGGACGGAACGCGGAGCCAGGTGGGTGCGGGGCTCCGCTCCTGCTCCCCGCAACTACCGTGCAGGGAGGGCAGGAGGGCGGGCGGCGGCGCTTAGAGGGTCCTTTCCCCGCCTGCGAGGAGCGCGGAGGGGGAGCAGCTGTTTTCAGCGGGCTTCAGCCCGCGGGATAATCCCGGCGCTGCCCTGCGGGAGCCCCTTTCTCCTCCCGCCGCGGCGGGGGCGCCGGTGGGTGGCTCCGGAGCCCCTGGCTGTGCTCCGCTGGCCCGGGCTGAGCTGCCCATCCTCGGGCCCGCCCGCCTCAGCTTTGTTCCGAGTCCTCCCGCCGGGCTCGGCCCCTCGCCGGTCCTCGGAGCGGTCCCTTTCCCCCCGCGCTCTCGGGGGGAGGCTTCGCAGCCCTCCGTGCGTGGGGTCGGGGACGGGCCCCCGCACTGTTCCCCGTGCTGTCCGCAGCGCTCCGTTCGGGCAGCGGGAACGCGGCGCCCAGTCCCGGGAGCCGCCCGCCCGCGGACTCGTTCCCGCTCGTGTTCGCCCCCCGAGAGCGGCCCCCGCGCCGGGCACCGCCGAGGCTTTCTGCTGCCCAGCGCTCTTCAAGTACTTAAGAAATAATCGTCTTTGGCTTTGAAGGGCGCTGGAAGTCCTTGACAGCTCGGGAACTTTTAAACCCTTCCCCGCCCCGCCACGTTTGGGGTTTTTTAAAAATTTTTTTTTCTACTTGTCTCTTAAGTAAATGTATCCCTGAGAGGAAGCCTGGCGTCTGAGTGAGTGCAGGCGTGTGAAGACAGGGATTTATCTCAACTGCTCAATGTCTAATACGGACCTAAAAGCAGTTAAGAAATGCTTTGTTTATTCTCTTTCTTTCTGATACAGTTCAGTAATCGCTGCAGATAACAGGAGAAGGGCTGATAGTTTTAGGCTGAGCAGTAATCTGTGAAGTGGGGCCAGTATTGAGTGATGGCTTATTGGATACAGTTGTGAGATTCCTTGATAGAAAACGCTTCAAAGCATAAATGGTGTAGTGTGTATGCTGTTTGTGCAGGACTAGGAAAAAGCTGTAATTCTTTGTGCCTCTTTTGTAAACTGCAGCAAATGTGGGGATGGTATTCCGACCAGAAAAAGATGGGGGCATATTATGAAAGCAGCCAGGAACTTCAAGTAACTTTAAATCTGGGGATGAGGAGGTTGCAAGACTGGCATTCTTTTTAAAACTTTACATAGGGAATCAAAAAACATTTAGAGAAGACAGACTGTTGTTTTGACTTTGGCTGATACAGTATTTTCCATAAACTAATAGTGAATGTACTTGGAGAGGAATGAAGTAATGGAATAAGGTTGCAGTTCTTATCCTCCTGTAGGCTGTCCCACACTACAGTGCTCTGTAGTTCAGATGCAAAGTTATGTGGTCTCTAATACATGGAGGTTGACATGATACAAAATAATTATGCTGCACTAGTGCTCAAGCTGGAAATCTGTGAAAGTTCTGGTTACACTGCTTGCAAACTTCAGCGATTAAAGATTAAACCCTGTGTTTGAGCCGTGAAACTGAGCTTTGTCAGTTTTTATGCTACAGCTTTTTGCCTTTTAATTTCCCATCAGAAGAAAATATGCTAAGATAGAAGGACAGTTAACTGCCCATGGGCCCCAAGTCATTCTTAGTAAGAATTAGGATGTTTTATCTGTAGCTATTCATTTGAGACTAGGACCATATTATGTTTCCCTTAAGTGATGTGGAAACTTGATTTGTTTCCAGCTGAATTCTGGGGATGAGTTGTGCAAAGCAAACTTTTTCTGTCCCTTGCTGGAAGATTAGTTTTGTGTTTATATAGCTAGCGGCAGTATGAATGGAGTTATTAGGCAGTGAACACAGAGATTTTGTTGTACATGAAATAATGTATAATTGAGCCAGCCCTCTTTTCATTTTCCATGGCTATTTTCCTCAAATAAAGAGAAAATAGAAAACATTATTATTATCAGATACTGAAACAATAGTCTTGATTATACTCAATGGTTACAGAAATTGAATAGTCTTTGTTAATCTTCCTATTTGTCCATGGAAGTATTAAAATTACTTTACATGCCAGAAATAGAATTGCTTGTGCTTTAAAAAATTATTTTCATAGCAGGAATAAGTTACTGTGGCTTCACATTTGATTTACATGGTATAACACATGTGACATTTCATAGTTAAAAACAGCATAAACCTGTTTTGTTTTCCAGTATATGCTTATCTGTAAAACATGCCTCAAGGGATCATGATTTTAGGAGTAGCAATATAAACTCCTTGTACATCAGCTACTCTTTAGTGTCCCTACTTTAGTGTCCCTACTTTAGCTCAGGTTTATTTACTTTGTGAGAAGGTACGTGCCATTTACTTTTCTGAAACAAGAATAACACTGTCTGCGGGCAGTATTGCTGTATGGAGGAAAGAGAAAGAAAAGCCATCATCTGACAGATGATAGTGTTTTGAAGTGCCTTATACAGTGATGAGAAGGACAGGGTTTCTGAAGAGCTAACCAAACCAGAGCAGATACTTTGGTGAAGAATTCCGGAAGAGCTGATGGTGGTTCAGTGTTTCCATCACTGTATCAGTGTCAGTTGGATGTGAATTAGCTTTCATGAATTTACAAGTCTTTGTTTTCTTATTAAACTTCCTGCATGAGCAGTCACATAACAAAGTACTCTTCGTTCTTTTGAGCAGTCTCAGAGGTCTGTCTTCCAGAGTTCTCTTGACTGCTTTGTGTGAGGAAGGAGCAAAAAATACTGCTGCAGGTAATTTGATTCTGTTCTTGCAGGCCTGTCTTTAGCTGATGTGTACTTAATGTTGTCTTAAAACTGCACTGAAGTCTAATACAGGTTGTATAACACAACTCTTCTTGGACTCTTCAGTTCAAATGAGACGTGTTATTACTTCCTGGTTCATGTGTGTCTCCAGTTAAAATTATTAGACAAGCTGTGGTCATTACTTTTGACTTGTTTTTATTTTTGCTTGCATAGGATCCTGAGCCACAGGCAGTATATCACATGAATTGCACTACTGGTATAAGTTACTGACCAGACAGTGCATGCCCAGTGGGTTATGATACTAAGTTTTGTTAATTATCTCAGTAGCAGAAATACATTAGAATACAGTCCTGATGAGGAGCAATTGGTTTTGTCAGGCTAATTTCTTAGTTATCTAATCTTAATGGCATGTAGTATATGGAGATCATTGATAGGCTCAGATTACAAATGTCTTCCAGTGCAGGATATAACTGTACTTTGCCTTTGGAAGCTTCCCTGTACAAGCAATGTGATGAGTTGCAGGCTGTCACTGTTTATTCTCTTAAAAGGTAGAGGGTGACTGTTAACTTCTCTGTATGGAAGGCTCACGTACAGAATACCTGGAATCTAAGAAAAATTAGTGTCTTGACCGAGAATTAATTTGAAGCATCTTGACCCTTAGCTCTGTTGCAGAACTGCCATAGCACTTACGTTCTCTCCTTAGAACTTAGTCTGCCTTTAGAGGTAATAATGATAATAACCTCAAGTTACACCAGAATTATTTGTTATATTTTAACCAAATGTTTTCCTTCACATTTAACTATTATTTAGATCTAAGCAAACCTTTGATAAAAGCTGTTGAAATGTTGCATTGGGTTGTTTTCTTAACTAGTAAAGCGCAGGTGTTTTTCACCTCTGTTTTGAAAATTCAAATAACTGAAGTATTTTTAGATATTGATGGATGTAATTTATTCTGCCACAAGAAGAATCAAAATGCTTTGGAAGAAATTAAGAAATTTGTACAAACAGCTGGAGATCAAAATGGCAGCCTTTGTGCTGATTTAATCTGCGAACTTGGAGCTTATCTTTGATTTCTTCATTTTTGGCAGGTGAGGTAGCTGGAGAATTATTTTGAAGGCTTCTAAGTATGGTAAATATTTGTTGGTTTGCTAAGGATTGTTAAGGATTTATCGGTGTCTGGAATTTCAACATGTTGTAAATTAGTTTTTCCTTTCACATACTGAAATGTTCTGCTATTGAACTGATGGTGTTTTCTGCCTCTAGAGATGACCCAGAATGTATGGGGATTTTTTTTTTTGTGGACCTCTCAATTCAGCAGAATTTTAGTTACTCCTTCAAGATTCTTGGAGCCCCTTCCTATCTAAGAAATAGAATATCTTTATTCTAACAGAGTTTTGGTAGCCAAATTCAGTGATAGGGGACAGTGTGTGCTTCTACCGAGTGTAAAGCATAGCATGCCACATTTATTAAATATATTGGTTTTGAGTATTCATTATACTCGTGCCCCTTGCATGCTTCAACTGATTTACTCTTACATTTTCAAGTGTATGTTTTAGAAGCAGAAAAAATTAGTGTTCTTCAGTACTTCAGCTGACGGGTCCCAGGTTTCTTGGGCATATTAACAGTGGCAATCTACTTTGCTTGTGTATGTAATGGATGATGCATGATACATCAAAACATGTTAATAGTATCTACTGAACGTTGGAATTGATTTCTTGATGTTGGTTTTGAAACCCCACAGTTGAAAAGGTCAGTATCAAGTGATGCCAAGGAAAACCATTTATCTGCTATGGACTTGGTGCTGTCCTAACAGAACAACAGGCAGCTGTGGGGAATAATGTGCTAGAAGACAAGGCCTGCAGAGCTTGTTTTATTTTGGAACTTCAAACAGCCTTTGGAAACGCTTCTTTGAGAAGTTCTTCTGCCTCATTACATGTGAATGGATAAATGAAGTTTGAACTTGTGAATTAGAAGGGGGGCTTTAGTGGCAATGTGGCTTTTTAGTTTGTTTCTCTGTAGCAGTTAGGTCTTGCTGATGAGTTTTCTATAGAATGCTGAAATTCTCTGGAACTTATATCAGCACAGATTTACTGCAGAGTTATTTCCTGGGAAAGTAGTGTTTTTCTTTATGAAGCTTGGCTGCTGCTTTGAATGCTTAAACAGCTGCAAGCATGGACAAGAATACATCACTTGAAATGAAGCTTTTGATTTCATGCTGAATTTGAAGACACTCTTGTATCAAT